CTTCAATATTGGGTTCACCATCTAATGCTTAGCAGGTATTCCCGCTTTTGTTCAGAGTGAAGGTCTCCACGGAGTCTTGATCTTGAACGGCACAATTTTTAATAGCCCGATTGGTATGGGTTGCTCGTTCAACCCAGAGCTCATCGAGAAGATGGCCGACGTCATTGCGACGGAGTCTCGAGCCGTTGGTATCAATCAGTTGTTTTCTCCTCAAGTCGATCTCGCTCGAGAGTTGCGATTCGGTCGAGTTGAGGAATGCTTCAGCGAGGATCCTTACCTGTATGTTCGTACCAAGTCAAGCTTATGGTGAGATACTAACTTGCTACCAGAGCTGGAGAGATGGGTTATCGATATGTTAAGGGCCTTCAAGCAGGCGGTGTCTCGGCCATGGTTAAGCACTATGTGAGGTCTGCTCAGTCACCATTAATTCGCGTACTGACAGTCAAAGGCTGCTTTCGCAACCCCAGAGCAAGGTATCAACACCGGCCCAGTCCACGGTGGTGAGCGAGAGCTGCGGTCTCTCTACCTCCCTCCCTTCAAGCGAGCCATCATCGATGGAGGCGCAACTTCAATAATGTCCTCATATAACTCCTACGATGGTGTTCCAGTCGTCTCAGACTCTTACCTCCTCACTGATATCCTTCGAGAGGAGTGGGGTTATAAATACTACGTTATCTCCGATGCTGGTGGTACTGCTCGTCTCGCTCAGGCTTTTTACGTCTGCCCTCTCGAGGATGATGAATGCATCACTCTTGAGGTAAGTCGCCCTAATTTCCTGCCCAACAAATATTAACTAGTGTAGACTCTCCCTGCTGGTAACGATGCTGAGATGGGCGGTGGCTACTGGAGTTTCGAGATCATCCCTGAGCTCGTCAAGGCTGGTAAGCTTGACGAAAAGGTCGTCGACACCGCTGTATCTCGTGTTCTTCGCTCCAAGTTCGAGATGGGTCTTTTTGAGAAGCCATTCACTGGTGTCGCGGATGATAAGATTTGGGATTATGTCAACACCAAGGCTCACAAGAAGGTTGCACGCCAACTTGATGCTGAGAGTATCGTCCTTCTGGAGAACCATGAGAATACTCTGCCTCTGAAGAAAGACGCAAACGTTGCTGTTATCGGTCCGATGGCCCACGGCTATGTCAACGTGAGTACTTGCTGACTATCTGGTGCGCAATCACTAACTTGACAACTAGTACGGTGACTATGTCATCCACACAGCCATGACCCGTGGAGTCACTCCCTACGATGGTATTAAGGCCGCCAGCAAAGGCAAAGTGACTTTCACTCAAGGTTGCGAGCGCTGGTCTACAGACGAATCTGGCTTCAAAGAGGCTGTCGCCGCCGCCGAGGCCGCTGATGTCGCAGTCGTAGTCGTCGGAACATGGACTCGAGACCAAAATGAGCTATGGCAGGGCCTAAATAGCACAACGGGCGAACATATAGACGCCAGTAACTTGAATCTCATAGGTGCCATGCCCAAGCTCGTCAAGGCCATCATCGAAACTGGAAAGCCCACCGTTGTGGTGTACAGTTCTGGAAAGCCTATTACTGAGCCATGGATTTCAGAGGAGGCTTCTGCTCTTATTCAGCAGTTTTATCAGTCTCAGGAGGGCGGTCATGCTCTGGCTGATATTCTGTATGGCGATGTCAACCCCTCAGGCAAGCTCTCCGTCAGCTTCCCCTACGATGTCGGCACCACACCTATCTACTACGACCATCTCAATTCTGCGCGCGCCTGGCCCAACCCTGGTAAGATCTATGATAACGGTACCCTCAAGTTTGGTAGCAACTACGTCCTTGAGAACCCCGAGGCCCTCTACACATTCGGTTATGGTTTGTCTTACAGCAAGTTCGATTTCTCCAAGATCTCCGTCTCCAAGAAGAACGTCACTGCCTCCGAAACAGTCACCGTTTCCGTTGACGTGAGCAACAAGTCCAAGCGCGACGGCTCTGAGGTCGTGCAGCTCTACGTCAAGGACATGCTTGCCTCTGTTGATGTTGCGCGATACCAACTCAAGGGTTTCAAGAAGGTCGCTGTCAAGGCTGGCAAGACCCAGACCGTCAAGATCGATCTCAAGGTTGAGGACTGGGGTCTGTGGAACCGCAAGATGAAGTATGTCGTGGAGCCTGGCGATTTCACTGTCTTTGTAGGCAACTCGAGCGAGAACTTCAAAGGCAACGTGACGGTCACCGTTTCGTAGATCCGTTTAGATTAAATACCAAGTCCCGTCGAAGAGCATGTCAATTTAATTTTTTCCCCAATTGACTTATTATATCCTTGTAGTCATACAACGTTGCACAGTCTATTGTGGCGTTGACGTGCCTGGCACCTAGTCATAATTGCTTGCATGACATGTTGATGTATTGCAGATTGGTGACATTTTGTTGTTAGAGCTCCCTCCGATACAGTCAATTGACTTAGGAAATAATATCGTAATCCTCTCGAGCAATTACTGGCATGATTTAATAAGATTCGTGTAATTTGGGCAAAATAGGCTGAGTCAAGCTGCGAATCTTTAAAGAATACCAATCAATGCAGCAATAAAATACTTTGCTGGGAGCCATAGATTGGGCTTATCTCTTATCGTAAACGGTCAGGGATCGCTTTATCCGGCACCGGCTTTTTTATCATCCGCGCAGTGACCAATCAGAATAGTCTGCGCCCGGAAATGTGGTCATGGGCTACGGAAGGCGGGCAGCCTCGCTTCTCGTTCCAGCTTCTCCTCGTCGTCCCAGCACACTCGATCCAAATTTGCTTCTGGTTAACTTTTTTACGTCAACACGACTTTTTCTCTTGGACTGAGACTCAGCCTTGTACCAGAGGGTTGTCAACAACATTCGAGCGTCTTTTTTCCTCCCTGGACGCGCCTAAAAGGCCTGCGCCCTCTCGTCGCTTCGCCCACAACTCCCGTCGATTCGACATTCATTCCACCCTCTGTCCACCATGGCGTCGCAACAAATTCTCTTTGCCGAAACCATAGCGGGTATGAAGAAGGCATTCAAAAGGAAATCATATGGTACGGAAATCTCATTGCGCTTGTCGCGACGAAGGGATTGACAGCTGACCGTCGACCCAACAGAATCCGATTCAGACTCCGAGATCGAAAGCTATAGCAATCGAGGCAATAAGCTCAAAAAGCAGGCACGGTTTGCCCGACAAGGACAATTGGTCCCCAATAATGGTCCAAGTTCGTATAGAGAGGTTCGTTGTTTTGACAAGTCCTCCCAGACCAATTTCTGACTCCTGCTAGTATGTCGAATACGGCGGTGTCCGACGCCCGATCCTATATCGCAACCCTCCATTAGTCGACGAGGAAGGATACGAAATAGATAGCGACGATGAAGATGAGGAGCGCGTTCAAGAAGCCGAGGCCTCAGCGGCAGAGATGAACCCTTACGCCAACATACAAATAGAGAGTAAGTCAACAATCACGTATTTGAGTGGCAGGGCTAACAGGACTAGATATCCTTGCTCCACTTACTGCATCGACCGCGCTACCGACACACCCGACTCTATCGAAGGCCTTCACGTCCAAGACCTTGACTCGACTTGTTGACCAAAGTTGCGACATAATGCGCAAGGAGAACCGTTCCCTGTGGAGAGTCAGGCATCTCCTGACATCACTCTGCGGCGACTACACATGGGTCCCATGCGAGATGATGGTTCGACCGGCAGATGTTGAGCTCTATACAGATAACCACACCGTGCGACATCTGTTGGCGTTATCCCAGGCGGTATCCCAGGCGGTATCGGCGCTTCCCGCAATCACCAATGGCGACGTACAACGGGGCAGCGGTGTCGAACACGGAAACGCTGCACCAAACACAGCATTCGATGGCGAGCCAACCGACAAGGACGCAGCAGAGGATGCCGATATAACCATGACGGACGCTGGGACTGCCGACCCAGATGATTCTCTTGTAGAGGATGCCGATGAGAATGCAAAGATCGATGCTGAGAAGGATGGTGTTGGCGCGACTTCAAATATGCATAATGGCGAGCAAGCACCAGCTGCACAGACCGAATCAAGAGATCCCAGGGGTGAAGCGACAAACGGGGTCAATGAGCATACAAACGAACAAGGGACGAATGAGACCGAGTCGACCAGAGCTGAGGCCACTGCGAAACCTTCAGGCAGCGATGCACATCAACAAAAGGAATCGGCTGAGACAATAGGTGCAGATGTATCCATGATCTCCGAAGGGGACGATGACTTCATACATCCTATGTTTCTTGCACCTTCAGGAGCAAGACCAGATCGGGATATCGGCTTGCCGGACCAAGAAGCGGAAGATATTCGACGACTGCTTGCTCTCTACGTGCAGAAGCAGGAAGAGGTGTGTAGAGGGGCAAAGAGGCTGTTTCTAGGACTCCTCAAAGCCGAACAGCTGCGGAAGAATGTACTCCACTGGTCTAAGGCAGAAGCTCATTCAGGGCTTAACCGAGACATGTCGGACGGCGAAGATTGGTACGACAAGGAAGAATGGGGTCTCACAGAAGACCTCAAAAAGGGGCAGGATGAAGAGGAAGAAGATGTGCAGACAACTGGTAAAAAGACAAGAAACCGACGTCAATAGCTGTTGGTTTCTGTGTTCTTAATGGATGATGATGACTGACTTGACTTGTTGGGGTTTTTGCTTTGGGCGTTTTAAGGCTGGCGTTTGGAATAAACCGCGAGATAGGCCTTGATGCCAACCGCAGTAAGCGTATTGTTACAAGCATCGATAGATATGACCATTGAAGCATATAGTTAGTGATCATACCCCATGATATTCGATATCTTCCCGTTGTGGTCCTGAGTGGGCTAATGAGGCTTTCTCTCGGTATAGGTTGAATTCGGCAGATTGGGTTGCCTTGCCTTGATTTCTCGGCTGCAGTGCAGGGATCTTCCGTTGGTTGGTTTGTGGATGGTGGATCAAAAAGACGCAACCTCCAGGGCAGAGTTCAGGGCTCTCCCCAGTTGACCTTCTTCTGAACGGAACCGTGGCTCTCCACTAATTCCGGATTCCTTCCATTATGACGCGGGCCGGACTCTCTCCTCTTCCGCTTTCCACTCTCTTCCATGTGACAGGACAGGACAGCTACGGGAAGGTACCTGAGGGATGTACCCTACCTAGCTCTCCAAGCTGTCTTTCTCCAAGCTCTCTCTTTCAATTCTGTTTCCTGTTCCTTCTACTATCTCAAAAATAATCCTCGCAACAGCAGAGTTTGAATACTTGCAGTCTTCTTCGAACCCTCTTCTGTGACTCTTCCGTGAACTTGTTACGTCAGTGATCACGACTTTTGCTATTACCTCACTTTACTCTTCGTGCCTGTTTGCTTTCTTGGTTAGCTGTCATTATGGCTCTTGGTGTGAAAGACTTCATCGACTATGTCGACTATGACAAGCAGAGCTTGTACAGTGAGTATATGCCACCTTGGCTTGAGCATTGTCTCTATCCGCCCATGACATTTGAATCTAACTCGAACTCTTTGCTTCTTTCCAGTCTCTGCTGCCTCTATCGCGTTCAACCCTCTCTTCTGGAAGTGAGTTGCAAATCCCCAATGTGACGTTCCACTATCGCTAACTCGTCTTTCTTAAGCATCGTCGCCCGTCAAGGTATGCAGCTTACAAATGTGCGATCCATCCTCGACTAACCTTATCGCTGAAAGAATACCACAACAAGCTTCTGACCAAGATTTTCGGCGGTAACTCCCAAGTTGCCTGTTATGCCCTTGCTGCCACTATCTTCTCTCTCGGTATGGTTCGCGACTTTATCTTCAAGACTGCCATCGCCGAACAGCCCACGCATCCCGCTCTTGTCAGCGACTTCATCCAGGCCGCCGCTGTTGCTCTATTCATCGTTGGTAACGTCCTGGTCGTCACTTCAACCTGGCGACTCGGTATTACTGGCACTTTCCTCGGTGACTACTTTGGCATTCTCATGGACGAGATGGTGACTGGCTTTCCCTTCAACGTGACCGGTTCTCCTATGTACACTGGCTCTACCTGCAGCTTCCTCGCTACCGCCATGTGGTATGGCAAGCCTGCCGGCATCCTGCTCACATTGTGGGTCGACATTGTCTACAGGATCGCTCTGAAGTTTGAGGACCCGTTCACTTCTGAAATATACGCCAAGCGTGAGCGTGAGCGTGCTGCGGGAAAGAAGTCCAACTAAGCTCCCGAATTCTGTCTAAACTCTTCCAAGTAAACGACAATAAGAGTGACGGGACAACATATCAGCGCCGCCTGAAACGTTATCAAGGCCACGCAAACCAACTGAGACTGCAAGACAGCTCCGTCTAGTCGAGTAGCGTACAATGTTTACCAAGTCGACACAGAAAGCTACGCCTTTCAACAGGCCAGGCGCCTCTCAACAGGCTTAAGGAGTTTTCGGATTAAACATACAGATACCACGCCCTTTCCGACATAAAATCGTCGACAGGCATAAGGGATTACATTTGATTATATAACAATACCAAACTGAGCATTCGCAACCAAGACCATATACATGGACGACTTTCTCTCCAATATTCAAAAGCATGTAGCAACTGTTCCGCCTCTAGACACCACGTCTTTAGGCCTACACATGGTCCTGCTTTGAACTTATTGATTTGAAGCATTTCTGCGTCATGATCTAGTTTCTCTAATTGCATGACAGAGGGAGGCTCTCCTCTCAAATATGTATCTGGGAGAATTGACTGACATAATACCTTGAGCTTACGAAGGGCGCAAGGATAGAGTCTGAAGTAAAACTTGACATGAACTAAACGCATATTGTATACTCAATTCAACAGCCATCTAGCTCATTATCTAGTCGTTCCTCATAAGTTGATTTGAGAATCTACTCTACAGTCTAGCAACCCTGCAAAATAAGCTCGGCAAGCTGTGCTCGTTTCTAAGCCACTCCTCATACACCGTCCGTACCCAGTCAGTTTCTTTAGCTAACGCCAACTCCGATTCACTCTGGTGTACATGCATCTATGTCTCAGAGGGCTTGTTGTCGGGAAGCAAATCAACAGCAGAGGCCTCAACAGGCTTCTTTTCCTCCACGGACTTCTCGTCAGCAGGCTTCTCCTCGGTAGATGCTTCACCTGCCTTCTCAGCTTGACGAAGAGCGAGCTTCTTTTGCTTCTTCTTGTCCTTAGCAGCCTTCTTCGCCGCGGCCTTCTCCGCCTCGAGGGCCTTTTGCTTCCGGATCTCCTCACCACCGAATGCCTCACGCCACTCGTCAAGCTTAGACGCGGGGATCTGTGTGAAGAGAAGCTTGGGCTCGCCAATCTTTTGCCCGGGCTTGACGAGGTCTCCTGACCATGTCTCAGGAATGGAGATCAAGCCAGGGCTGCCGATCTGCTCCAGTATGGCCTCAGAAGTAGAGGGCATATAAGGATGAACGATGCTTGCAAGGAGCTGGAGATGGTTGATACCGAGACCGATTACAGCAGCGCAATGGTCTGGCTCATCAGCCAGAAGCTGGTTGTTCAGTTTGCTGTCCTGTAGAAGCTTGTTACCAAGGGCGGAGATGTGCATAACAGTGGCGAGGCCAGCGCGGAGCTTGATGGCGTCGAACTGTGAGATAAAAGTCTTGAGGGCCTCGTTCACTTCCTTCTTATGATCCTCCAGGCGCTCGTCGGTGTATTTTGTGTAGTCGGGAACGACACCATCCAACTTGGCCTGGGTGAACTTGAGGATTCGCTGGTTCAAGTTGCCAAGGTTCTTGAGAAGATCGTTGTTGTTGCAGTCAATAAACTCTTGCCATTTGAACTCAGAGTCGGCAGATTCAGGCCGTCTTGATAGAAGGTAGTATCGCCAAACATCAGGATCGACACCAGTCTCCTTAGCAGTGTTTCCAAAAACTCCAACGCCGCGGGACTTGCTGAACTTTCCGCCCTCGTAGTTGAGATATTCGGTTGTCGACATCTTGTGGACCTTGGTCCAGTTCTCTCCTGTTCCAAGTTGAGAGGCAGGGAAGATGATGGTGTGGAATCTAAGGAATCGTCAGCACCCTCTCAGCATATCATGCGGGTTCTCCAAAAGGTCACTTACGGCACGTTATCCTTGCCCATGAACTGGTAAAGCTTGACGTTCTCGGGGTTCTTCCACCACTTCTCCCAGTTTGTGCCATCCAAGTTATCGCCATCAACCAAGTTCTTGGTAATAGAGACGTAGCCAATGCAAGCATCGAACCAAACATAAAAGACCTTCTCAGCATACTCCTCATTACTCAAGCCTTCGAGGTCCTTAGGAATAGGAACACCCCACTTGAGGTCTCGAGTGATACCACGGGGAAGGAGTCCCTTGTCGATCCATGACTGGGTAATGGAGATACAATTCGTGCTCCAGTCTCCCTCCTTACTGCTCTTGTGGAACCAGGGAACAAGCAGGTCCTTAACCGCATCTAGACGAAGGAAAAGGTGCTTCGTCTTTCGCTTCTCGGGGGTGGTGCCATCGACCTTGCAGCGGGGGTTGATCAGGAAACCAGTCGCCTTAGCCTCGACATGGTCATCGTCAGAGGTGCTGGGCTCGCGCTCGGGCTCAAATGGATCAAGAAGACTGCCGCATGCATCGCATTGATCTCCACGGGCTCCGAGATCATGGCAGATGCTGCATTCTCCCTCGACGAATCGGTCTGCTAGGAACTTGCCGTGGGCAGGGTCCGAACAAAAAGGTTGAGTAGTCTCTCGCTCCTCAATATAGCCATTCTTCCAAAGCTCCTTGAAAATCTGCTGCACGATCTGCGTCTGTTGTTGGGTGGGTGTTCGGCCGAAGATGTCGAAGTCAATTCGGAACCAATCGTAGACTCCCTTGTGAAGGGCGTGATACTTGGCGCAAAGGTCGGCAGGCGAAAGGCCTTCCTCAAGAGCCTTTGTCTCGGTAGCAGTACCGTATTCGTCGGAACCACAGACGTAGATAGTGTTCCAGCCTCTTGCTCTGCAATAGCGAGAAAATACATCAGCAGAGAGAACACTGCCGATGATGTTACCCAGATGGGGAATGTTATTGACGTAGGGAAGGGCACTGGTGATTAGGACGTTGCGCTTGCCCTCCTCGGGCAGAACGGGTGATTTTGAAGCCATTTTCGGCGATATGGTATATAAACCACTCTACAGATACTTGTGATTATTGATGAGAGGTTCGATGTTGGTTGTCGTTGTATGTTTGTGAGTCACAGAGTTGCGATAACGCCTTTGACAGTCAAAATTCGTAGCTGAGGTGCGATGGCGGGGGGCGGGGGAGGGGTGATTGGAGAAGTCGCCGGGATGGTCTAGGGTAGGTAACCAAAGCCAGCGGCTTCCGAGTACAATAATGAAGAGTTGCCTATAAATTTTGGACTGTTGACGGATGGGACGGTGTTATAAGATTTTGTATGCTGTCTGACTCATTTTCTAACAAGGAGTCATGACAAAAACTCTGTTTTGGTTCCTTAACAAAATACCACTCTCTCATGTCTAGGGTTTGTGAAAAGTACGCCCTGAAGATATTAACATTGGTGTAGGGCGTCTGAGCATCACAGGTTCCACTGGTTCAGTGTGGAACATCCTCTCCTTATGTAATATCCTTGGGAGCAACTCCCCCAGATTCACTACCGAGTCCATGAGCAGAGGCACTGAAGCATGCTCACAATCATAGGCAGATATTCATCAGCAAAGCTTAGAGCAAGCCTCCTTATTGAGTCACTGCTCATAGTCACAGAGCCCGACTTATAAACGGACTGCTGTAAAAATATCAGGCTATCTCCATTATGCACCCTTACAAGTTTTCAAGTACAAAGCCTTCGCTCGAACTTTGCCCATCATTCTGCAAACTGCAGATTATTTCATCCAAGCGGGGCTACAATTGATATACCAGAGGTACGATATAATTTCAAGCTATCGTCGTAATACAACGAGTCTCTACTGAAATCGCCTAGGTTAGGATTCCATGCAATACCAATGATCCTTCATAAGTTTGACATTCGTTTCATAACCTATCACAGAACCTTGTCCAACTCTAATTGGACCTGTAAAGTCCCCTTTTCGGCTAGGTAGGTAACCTACCACGACTTCCTTCCTTCTTGACGAGTGACGACAGGACCCCACCGAAACTGGGAAGGAGCCCCGCGTCACGGCCCGCTACCAAGCAACACAACAGCAACCCCACCATACCTGAGCCACAGCAGGAACGAGCGAGCGCCTGACTACCTTACTTGGCAAGGTATTGTCATATCTGGCAAGGAATCTCATGATACAAAGATCTTTTAAACCTTGTCACCAACTACCTAGGTCATCTCAAGACGCTTCACTTCCTCAGCGCGACGAGCTCGGCGACTGTGTCGACTTGCCTCTGATTAACCCCGCGCTGCTTTGTCTACCATCAAGTCATCAGGCACTTAAAGCTTGTAAAGCCACTACAGTAGCTTGAGATAGCATCATCGTGGGACTTAGCAACCTGCGTCGCAGAACGACAAGCACAGCAAAGTATATACGAAGACCACGGCAATATAGCCCATCATGAGCATGTTTCAATCAGTAAGATCACTCCGCCCTGTCTTCTATGCAAGCAGTTTCCGCCCAATGGGCCTTGTTTGTTGATAGCTCTCATGAGTTATTTATATGCCACTAAAGCACCTCCAACGTGTATTATTGGATTTACTAACGCCCCAGTAGAAGAAACCGTTCTCGGCGGTGACTGTAACCGTCGAGAACCTTACCTCCGAGTCATATGAAGAGGAAGATCTCAGCGGTATTCCCGAGCTTGTCGAGGTCATTACCCTACAAGCTACGGGTCCTAGTGAAGCAGCTCGAGCCATTCGAAAGAAGCTTAAATACGGAAATGTTCACCGCCAGATCCGCGCATTGGTTATTCTTGACGGTCTCATCCAGAACGCTGGTGAGAGGTTCCAGCGAACTTTTGTTGATGAACCTTTGCTTGAACGTCTGCGTGTCTGCGGTACATCTGACCTGTCTGATGTTGCCGTGAGGAATAAGTGTAGGGAGCTTTTTCGCTCATGGTCACAGTACGCTGGCAGGCCAGGGCTAGACAGTCTCGCTCGACTTCACAGGGTAAGTCATAGTCACACAGGATTTCAACATCAAATGCTCATCATCGTAGGAACTACCCAAGAGAAAGCAAGCCGTCACACAAGAGAGATCGAGAGTCCTCAGAGAGACAGAGGAAAATCCGTTTGTCGACGACGAACAAGAGGCTGCGGCAAAGGCGGCCCGTGACGCACGGAACGCTTCAGGCCCTTCAAGTTCAACCCCAACATCTGGTTCAGCATTCGGACACTCTTCTGCCAAATCTTCCTCGGGGTCTAGTGCTTTCTTCGGTAGCTCTAAAGACAAGAAGAAGGAGAAAGAGAAGGCTAAGGGGAAGCGAAAGCCTTTCAACCTTGAGGCTGAGAAGGAACAAATGAAGTCTGTTATTGCTGACTCCTCCATCGCAGCGACGAACTTGATGAATGCGCTTCAAAGCATTAACCGTGAAGTGGAGCGTATTTCAGAGAACCAGACAGCAGTGGAGCGCTTTGAAGCTTGTAAACTTCTTCGACGCAAAGTACTACGTTATGTGAGTAATTCGTTAGAATCGTGAGAAAATTCTTGAACTAATCATATACAGGTCCATCATGTTGAGGAAGAGCAGTGGCTCGGAGGATTGCTTCATGCCAACGATGAGCTTGTCCACGCTCTCATGTCTTTCGAACAGTTCGATCGTTCCATTGATGCGGACAGTGACTCAGATGACGAACTTGCTGAGCAGGCCCATCTGTATCGAAGTATGTGTTGACGTGAATTCTTGCGAGAATGCAGCTGACTTCTTCACAGTGGCTACAATCAAAGGCAAAGAGGCCATGGCTAAGGCTGCCTCTCAGTCTCCAACCGCCTCGCAGCCTCCAGACCTCTCTGAGCTAACCATCTCGAATTCGCCCGCTCATGCAGCTCCTCCCCGGCCACCTCCCATGTCCAAACCTCACTCGAACCCTCCCCCTCAACCCCTAAGGCCAGTTTCGGCTCCTGTTGCAGCTGCGCAGGATGAAGACGATGAAGACGATCCGTTCGGTGATTCTCATGCTCTCGAAACACCTATGCACGAACGTGACCAGCCTAGGTGGTAGATATAGGGTCCAAAGACCAAGTCAAGTCGAGGCAAGCACATAGTCCTTTATAAATGGAGCAGAATACCAGCGCGATTCAGTTAGTTTCCTTATCGAAGCCATAAACTTTTAGTCGCCTCCCAAAAAGCGATTTCTCATTGAGTGAACCCGAAAAAGTCATGTACAACTGTTACCAATGGTACCAATGTGTCAGGTATAGGGTATGCCTAAAACGATGGTCACAAATTCTGTCAAATCACATAGCCGAAGTACAGTTTGAGATCGCTACATGGTCAGTTAATCCACCATGCTATCAATCCTCTGTTTTAGAGGCCTTGATGTTCTTGTGAAGGAACTTACTAAGTACTGAGTGACGAGGTTCTGGGTACGTAGTGAGACTATCATTCACAATACGAGGAAACGATCCTCTACGATATACAGCATAATAATTTACAAATGGACCATTAAGCACGGAGTAACATAGAACATGTCTCTATCCTATCTTAACTCAGAAAATGGTCGTACATTGCCATAAACATCCCTCTTTGACTGGCTAAGCGTCAGACACAATTCACACAAACTGACCGGTCTCAAGATCCCATGATATTGGGTCTTTCAGTTTCCACAGAATATGAAATCTCACTCCTGATCAACTACCAGTACCTGGTGGAAGAACCTCAAGGAATCGCGGGTCTTATCGCCCCGAGAACTTTCAGACCGCCCTCATTCAGGACGTGGTCTGACACGGCGGTGTCGTACTGCACACTCCCCGGATATGCAACTCTTGCAGCCAGGATGCATGGATGCGGAGTGCAGGACAGACCGTTAATCTCCACGATGCAAGCAATAGGATGCAATCGACAATCTTTCATTGCCTGCCGGATCTTGCGGTCAGCAAAGCAAAACCAACTTAACGATCACTGTGACAGAGCACCACCACGCGACGACAAGGACAATCCGGTATAAAAAAAAGCAAAAGAAAAGCAAGCGATTCGAGAACCTGCAGATCTGACACAAACGAGAGACGGCCCGTCTTTTTGGTGGCTTCCTTTTATTACTGAGGGTGATCTGCGCAACCTGTCATGATCCTTACCGCACATTGACCATTGATATCTGCCTTTCCGTTAAAAGGCATAGAAGAAAAAGCAACGACGAGTCGTGGATGCAGATCTACGTGTGCTAAAGATTGCTGGGATCGCCTCGTGGCGGGTCTTGTCTGCTGGGCATCAATCAATATGGCGGTAAAAACTTATACTTCGCAGAACGGATGTGACAGAGCAGCGGCCATAGTCATGAGGTAAATGCAACACTACAGCAAATGTCGAGATAGCACGTTCCTGAACAGCTGGCCGAAGCTTTGGTGATCGACATATCCGTCTCGCTTCGAAGTGTTGAAACAGGGCAGCTTGACTTTCGATTCACGGATCTTAAAGAACGCGTTTGGTAAGGGTGCATCGGTCCTGTAAGTTATTCACGCAACATGGCCCGCTTGCCAGCAAAGCCAACTCGGTTGTTCATCATGCCAGGACCAGGCCATTTTGATGGTTGTCACCCATCAATGTGGTCCGGCCCCTGAGAGTACGGTCAAGCTCCGGGCTGGTTCATGCTCACGGCTCACCTCAGCTTGACTTGAGCGCAAGGGAACGGTGAGAGGATGAGACAGACTGTCGAGGACCACAAATGCGGGAACGCGCAGGCATGCGTCCGTCCTCAAACCGCGCCGACGGCAATCTCAGCCCGGACCACCAGACGAGTCCACCCACTCGTGGAGTATACCATATGCAGAGTAGTCAATTCAAGAGCCTACAAGGAAATTGCAAACAGCAGCAACCCCGACAAAACTAGTCCACATGATCAAGGACCTTATTGCTGATAAAATTGGCAGCCTCAGTTATCGCCTGCTCTTCACGCAGCCTCCACCTTACCAGAGGTCAGTGCAAAAAATGCATATTATCAGTCATTCTGACCAATTTGATGAGTGAGTTGGTGGTACACAAGAGTTGAAAAACATCTCATTTCTCCCGCATTTGTAGCGTCGTATCTGGGGAACATGATGAAAGAGGCAAATGATGGCACACAATTGACTGATATTGAAAAGAGCCCTCGTGGCAGCCATGGGCCAAAGACACCCCTGCATTGGCCCTGACGGGTATGGCATGGTGGAGGGAAAAAGTCTACACCTGCATTTCAGCCCTGGAAGAATTGGCCGACCATCCCACGTCACCTCTCCCTTTGAGGCTTGGACTGATAATGCTCCACTGCTTCTGGAAGCCTTCCATCATTTGTTTCATCGTCTGTGATAGCGAGCACGGTCCTGTGGGCTTTGGCTTGGTGCATTTCAGGGTCCACCCTGGGATGCTGCAGGACAACGGTCAGACTCCCGGTTGGTCCTGATGATACAAAGATGGAGCAGAGAGCAAACTGAAATCCATGCGTTGTGAAAAAGGTGAACTCGATACATGGGCGGGTTGGCTGTAATGTACCAGAACTTGCACAAAGACAATGATGATGTGTTATTGACATCAAAGCAACTTCTGGGTTGCACACCAAGGTTCCACGAGAGCCTTCATGCTTCAATTTTAATTCAAGGTTACTTTGCAGCATGCGCTGCAATGTTCCAGTCGTTGGTTGCTAGGTTTATCCCTTTGCAGACGCGGTGAAATGTTGATCACGGGGCAGTTCGCGCAAACGAGCGCCCCACGAACCAAGTTTAGGCCGAGAATTGCACGAGTGCATATGTATAGACGCCGCTCTGTGACATGAAAAGCTCTGATAGGATCGACAAAGGGCGTTGCAATGGATTGGCGACACCCGAAAGCCTTGACCAGTTATGTTTTTCGGCCATATGCGGCAGAAGCATTAACAAGCTTGTCGAGGCAGGATAGATGAGAATATCATTATGGTGTATAGTACATATTCCCCAAACTCTATTAGCCAGTCTGATATTACCTGCGCCGATAGCTTTCTGTGGATAAGGGTATTCTGAAACACCGCATTCTTTAACCATAATGAGAAAGGATGAGCCCTCGCATTGGCGCAATGAACAGGCTGCTCAGTAACTCTCAGTATAAACCCCAGGAACTCGTGATATTTGAAACAGAACCTAATGGAACTCACCTGCGCTAAGGCGGGAAATACAATGTCAAACTGTTTCATCTCTGCTTCGAGTCTGACAAGGCGAGTGTGTGTCCGAGCACAAGTGCAAAAAGAAGGTATTCGTATTGCTGCCAAGTCTTGCATTTGATACACTAAAGCCACCAACCTTTTTTCGGGGTCGGTGCATCGCCTTCGCCGAAAATGCCGAATGGATGGCGGGACGAACGGACTGGAATGAAATCACAGCTGAGTTTCCCGCACTGGACTCTTCTCAGATTCTAATAATAATCAACAGTCAAAGGCATGGCTCCGTCACTGGGAAAGAGGGGCATACTCGCGAAGTTGTTTGAAACCTCAATGGGTAGTGCGGGCGCCATATTTCTAGAAGTGTTCCATATACATGGTCGGTTAGTAAGGTAGTGAAGCAGCTGAGCATGTAAATGGGTGTAAGGATTGAACAGACTTAAGCCATAGGCACCGCTTGATAAGCATGGTAATAGTACACCACTCGCTTGCTATTCTGGAGATCCTCTTTGTTTGAGTGTTTGTTGGTTTGTTCTACAATGAAGGAACTCGCGGGCCAAGGATTCGGTGGGTGAGCCTAAGTGGGACGTTCATGTATCCCCTTTGACTAAAATTGCTCAAGTGTGAAGCATACCTTGAGAGCCATAGGTTGTTGGATGGATTTGTCAACTCTTTGCCTCCCTAGTCGTAAGATTTGTGTCGTGAAAAGGCCTCCTCAATTGTTCATGCAGCAGGCTATCAGTCCTAGCCCCCGCGCCGGCACGGACAGGGCTTCCCCGCCCAGTAGGGTCAAGTTCTGTATTTCTTTACAATATGACTCAAAAGTTGAAGAAGTCAAGCGTATATCGAGGTAAGCTGGAAAAGGTCATGACAATGGGAGCCGACCCGGAGCCGCATCCTTTGTTACGTCTTGATGTCCAAGTCATACTACCTGCCATTTTCTTTGATACACGTCTTTTACTGAATTGTGCATCACCTCCCATCGGCATTTGTGGTGTCCAGTCTTGTAGTGCTCTGTTGATCCGTGGTATGGTTGCCGTTGTTTGTTTCTCAAGTGTGATCCGGTGGCCTAAGATTCCGTGCCCGATATGCACTAGTCCTTAATTAGAGTCTCTTAATGACCAGCCGAATGCCAGTGCATGAATATAATACCTACAGAACACCTTGGTCAGCCATTCATTACCATTCCCGTGCCAGTGTAGGTTTTGGGCGGATAGTGCGCCATGACTGCGGCCCTCAACCCAACCGCTCACTGACTCAATTCTAAAACTTCTGGAAAGGTGCCAGAACAAATGGAAGTGATCCATGCTTCTGCAGCACGGGGCAGATTCAGATGGGGCCCCGGGAGCATGGGGCCAGGGCAAGGGTTTGGTCAGGACAAGCTTGGGCGGCCGAGCACTCTTACGTATAAGATAAACACGAGACAAATTAAAGATCAAACGATAGATGTGAGTGTGAGTGTGAGTGTGAGTGTGAGTGTGAGTGTGAGTGGGAGTGGATGTGGGAGAGTAAGGTAAAGAGACCGAGTGGGATCATGTAGAGATTGAAAAGCAATCAGTAATGGAAAGTGCGGAGGTGAATAAGGTAGACAGTCGAATTACCAAGGTGAGGAAGGTTTATCTCATGCATGGATACCAATATGGGATAGGTTGGAAGTTGGAACCATGGAAGGAGGGGTGAGGCTTTGATGGTGGCATGCTTCTTTAGTGATGGATCGGAATGAGAAAGTGGTATCGAAGGACGGAAAGAAGCTCAATAGAAGGACAGGATGTGTCGTGGGCGCAACGCTACGCTCGGACGTGCATTGTCACACGGCGCTAGATCTGCCTCTGCCTTATCATTGTTCCAGAAGAATTCTCGAAACCTTCCTCGGTGAGCTAGCGTCATTTCCGAATGTGTGAATGACCCATCTAAAGACCTTGTTAGTCTCGAAAAGAAGCCAACCAGAGCCTAGCAGCTGAAATATATGCCTCTCACCCCTGTCGAGTTTGATTCCCAAGTTTCTTAGTGGCTCCCAATTCCAACTTCATGTTTTTTTTCTTCGCCTGTGCTGTTGGTACACGATACACCCCTTTGTCACTTGAAATCATTACGGTACCTTACTCAACAGCGTCATGGTGGATCTTGTCCTATATTTTGCATTAGGCTATCCCTTTTGGCATCTCTGTTTTAATTATCAACTGGCATATGCGCCTGCGTCTGCATCTCTCGCACGGCACTTGCGGGGGTGGTTGATTGATTGATTGATTAAGTTGTTGGAGAGATGGCGGCTACTGTATCGAACAACCACAGCACCCCTAGGCGGTGTAAGATCATACCGGGCTGTCTTCTGGAAGGCAGACGGGTCATGATCAAGCCTTCTCAAAGTTGCCAGGTATTGACGAATCAGTCCCGCCTCAGCCCACAACTTCACGTATCTCACACAGTACAGGGATGCTGACTCTAATGTCTCCAATGCTGGGAGAGGAGCACCCGCTTCATATCCGATTGGGTAGTCGTATCTAGGACAACCTTTAACCTGGAGCCCAGGAGCAACAAACATCCCACATCCACAAGCAGCAAACTCATGCGCATTGCATGCATTGACATGCTAATTAAGCCACGGACTATATGGCAGGGAAAGAGCGGAATAAGAAGTGACACCGCCTCAGTTGAACCATCAAAACAGAGTGGGTGCAATATGCAGTTGAATGCTGATCCAAGGGCAGCCTTTGTTTACAGAAGTTGATGGAGCGAGTGATTCGTCCACTAGCCTCGATTGCTTGAGACCATCTAAATGAAGAACAAAGAGACGATGACAGGGCTGTCAACTAACAAGACCAGGTGACCAGATATTGAGATTACATCATGTCAAGTGTACCACAGATTCAGGCAAAGCTTCACCAAACGTCGAGCGGTCCTGGATCGCTTTCACCGAAATTCACAACACGCATGGCTGGGGATTAATTAGCCTCAACCAACAGCCCAGATCGTATTGACGCCTATGGCGCAGGAAAACATTATCAAATATAGTGCCAAGGGAGATGCGGGATCCCTAGATGAGGCAAGCCACACTAGGGGACGACAACGCGACACCGCCTGAGAGTGAGATATGGGTCAGGGGAGCATGGGCACTGATGATTGAACTCTTCTGGAAGCCGGCGAGATCTGCCACTCAGGACAGCTGCCGCCTTGCCTGCCCCCAGCCCTGACAGCCCGACATCAGCTCTGGGCAGTAGCTCTGACCCGCTAGACCGCGCCCAAATTGACGGGACCCGTTTGAATTCCCCTGGGAACAGACCTGGGTTATTTTGAGGGGCGCACATGCCATGTCGACCCTGCAGGGTACAGGGAAGATCCATGACGTCGGCCCTGATGAGTAGGGGTGGGCAAGGGAGAGTGGTGCGTTGTACATTGATTGAGACCAAGGGGATCGATTTGGGGTCGAACATCAAACAGCGGGTAGCTGGGTCAGAAAGAGGCCTGTCCGCAATCCCGAGAGAAGGGAAACAGGTCCATAGGTAAGAAACAATTAATAGCAACATGCTTAGTATCGTACAAACAAGCAAATGTGATTGATACAGGGCGAGGCTTATACGGACCATGTTTGCCCAGCCCATTTGTTTCACGATATCCCGTCGTTGGACATACGAGTAGACGAAAAGGGAGGTGATGGGGCGTCCACTCGCAAACTCATGAAGACACGGCATGATATGTTGGCGGCCCAACTGGCATAATGCAGTAAGAGAAACGAACGATACGATCGACGTCTGAGGATCACTCTAGCTGACAAGGATTGGCCTGCCTGCGAGATGCCCATTCCCTCAGCAGTGATCCCGATTATTCACGACAGATGAGGGAGGACCACAGCCTCTTTCCAATCAGCATCGTGCAACGGCTAGAGGTTGCAAGATGATATTCAGGGACACTTCCACGCCAGTCATTCAGTGACTATTGAGCTGTTATGGGCATTGGTGAGGCGGCGCTGTGGCTGGCCGGGGATTACCCTGTAAGGATGCACTGTAGGTATGCACTGTAGGTATGCACTGTATGCTGTACATGGTGTTCACTGCCCGAGGACGGGAGATTTCCAATTTGTGCATCGTAAAGTTGCAGCAGCACAACGGGAACCATCTCTTCCGAGGGCTAGGCAGCCGTCCGCTTGAATGCTGGTAGTGGAGGTTTTTATTTCTTTTTACTTTGCTCCCAAATCTTCGGGACAGTATTATTAATGAAGGCAGGATAGGATGGAAGTTTATGGTTTGATGTGCCGCGTCTTGGGATTGCACACGCAACGGCGTTTCATGTTGGGTTAAGTGAGAATGACGCCACGGCTGATGGATGTTTCTAGGGCGGAATTGAGGTTCTGGCCCTCGTTCTTTGTGACGTCTGTCGCATGCCAATCCCCGCTTGTGTAAGTTATGGGAGGGTCAAACCTGAGTACTTGGAAAGACAGAATATCCAATTTTTATAGATATTGATGAAATGGAAGCTCATTAATTTTAACTACTTTGTATAATTTCTTATACTAGACTCTTAAGAGTGGTGATTTCTTGAGGTTATAGAATCCCATATTCCCTTGAGAAACGTGAGGTATGGTCTGAATCCTAGTCTCAGCTGTTCGCCTTACTGTACTAGACTAAGGTCACCAATGTAAAATTTGACAGCGTCTAGCGCACTCGGTGCTAATTCCTCGGCCTTGCGAGTTCTCAGCTCGCGTTTGCCCGTGACATGAACCTCAATTTACGGTCCTCCACTGTTACAGTTCGTCGATCCCTCGATGATTTCTTCCCGTCGCGTTGTGTCTCGAGGTCCTGCCAACCCCCGTCCTGTGCTTCGATCCATGTCACCATGTCTCTTGCGAGATCTGGCGCACAGAGCAAACCAAACCTGCGAGATCCAGTTCAAACGAAACCCTCGAACGGCTTTCGGGTAATATTTTTTTCTAAAAAAGAAAAAGAAAAAACAAAGACGAGACGGGAACCAAGCCAAAAGGATCGATCATTATTTGATTGAGACCAAAAAAGAAGCATATGTTTGTTTACCTCTACTGCACGCATCCATATCGAGTCCTTTTGTTGAGATGATTTCCCTTTTTCTTTGTTAGAATGTCCCAATACTCTAATTACAAAGACATGATTCCTTACTCGTGCCTGACCTACACCTGCACTACTGTTTCCATTATCCTGTCCCATTGACTCTATTTCTGGCTCTTGTTTACTCTAGTTCAGGTCAGGTCTGATAGTATCTTGGCTATGCTTTATTCTTGTTTCCCCAATCCCTGTCTCTGCCCTATTAACTGGCTCATCTGATGCGGTACACGCGCTTTGCTGTAAACTGGCTGAACTGAAGCGTTGGGTTGGGTTGGCCGCTGTAATGAGTCTGAGTCTTAGGTTCGCTCTACTTCATTCCCGCTACCGCTATTCACGCCCCCTCATTCAGGTCCACTACCCCTGTCACCTTCTAACCCCTGCCCCGGGAGTGCGCCGTAATTTATTTCGCAGACCCCCTCCCTCCACTATTTCCCCCCATAGGGAATCCACTTTCACTTCCCCTTCACCCTCCCACTTTCAAATCCCGGAGCTGCCTTTGCCTGCCTTCGCCTCACGTCCCGCCATAGGGACCCGTCCTGGAACCTGACATAAAGACTTGGCCTCTACCTGGCCCTCGATGATCGCATCAACTCCTTTGGTCTATTTTATCTATCTCCCGTTCCCGTCTCTCGTTGCGTTGTAATCCTTATACGTCCTGGCGATTGATCTCCCGCTCTACTATCTTTCACATCCTCACCTCTTTAAGAACCATCTGTCCCCCCAGTTGACCCTTTAACGGTACCTGCGTCTAGCCCACTGGCCGCCTGCTGTGAACAGACCACCTCCTGATCCCTTCTTTCATCGCATCGCGCCTGTGAACGACTACATCTCATCAGCTATCGTTTGTTGAAATAGTGTAAATTGAATTTGGACACTTCAAAAAGTCTTCTGTTCTGTTGACTTTTCATCTCCGACCGCCCGATCGACAGTGCATCACTTTGTGGAGGGTACAGAAAAAAATTTAACCATTTTTGCCCAACCCCTGCTATCTTCGGTTCTTCCACCTTACACATACACTTTCGCGCGTTTCGCCCTGGCACGTCACTTTGACTACCTCCCTACGCTCCAACTGCAGAGAACTTCGTCGCCGTCCGAAAACGAAAATCCGACACCGAAATCCTGTCGCCGGTCGACCTCTCTCCTCCCGCTTCGCCCGAATACCCACCGAAAAGCGGTCTGCAAGATTTCACGTCCACCTTGTCAGTGCGACTATACACGTCACTTGCTTGCATACAAACGCGGAAAGGTGAGTCGCATAATTTGTTTTTCAGGCCCTAAACACTCGGCGGATCTTGGATACCGACGATACCGTCTCTGGGCGACTGGCTGAACCTAAGCATGCTGTTGCATTCGCTTACCCATCTGCCGGTCCCTTCGGGATGGCATTGTTTGTATTGGTACCTCGAGCATCAAACGTGGCCCGTTACCATATTAAAACCAAGTCACTAACATACAACTTCACAGCCAACGTCAGCTTGACCGCCTTCCTGCCGTGATCCGTCACTTGTGAGCGCCCTCGCACATCCTTCCCCAAACGCGCCACGTCTTCAGCTGGCATTTCCCACCATATTGAAGATGAGCGGCATGCGATCACCAGCTCCTACGGAGGTTATGGACATCACCAACATGCTCAATAAGAAAGGTCAAATGCAACAACTTACTTCCGGTCTCCTCGATCACCAACAATACCAACACGCCTTCGTTAAGCACGAACCCGGTATGGAGCGATCCGCCTCTCCTCACGGCTCTGAGCACTCGCAATACTCCAACCCTCACAGTATCGCCCGAGCCTACCCATCGCCATCCACGATGCAAGCGCCGATGCATATGCCGAACCCTATGTCCACCGCGATGACAATGCCAGGCTATCCCGAGATGCCCAACATGGGAGGCATGCCTCACTTGCACATGCAGCAGATGCCTCAACAACCCCCGCCTCCTCCCCAGCAGCCTATCAAGGCGTATCCTTGCAGTACCTGCGGCAAGGGATTCGCTCGACGAAGTGATCTTGCTCGCCATGGTAAGTAAACAATGCTGAGAGACTGACTGGCAATGCTAACGCGTACCAGAGCGCATTCACAGCGGAGTTCGACCCCATGTTTGCGACTGGCCCAATTGTGGAAAGCAATTCATTCAAAGATCTGCCTTGACTGTGCATCAGCGCGTGCATACTGGAGAGAAGCCTCACCACTGCGAGACTTGCGCAAAGGTCAGTACCCCAAACTCCGGTTTTTGTGACACTCGCTTACCAAATACAGCCCTTCAGTGATAGCAGCTCTCTTGCCCGACACCGCAGGACACATTCTGGAAAGCGTCCCTACAAATGCCCCTACGCTGATTGTCAGAAGACATTCACTCGTCGCACCACCCTTACCCGCCATCAGAACCACCACAGCGGTACTATCGAGGAGGCTGCCGCCGCGACCGCTGCTGCTCTTGCTGCGTCAAAGTCTAAGGGCTTGTCACAGGCTCGGTCTGAAAGCGATCACATGTCTAACCACGGCTCGCCCTTGACGACTCCTTCTCCTAGTCAGCGAACAATGTCCATGTCGCCCAGTGTCGATTTATCTGGTAACAACAGCATTCCTCGTCACCCTGGCGACTTCCAGTATCTGTCACAGAATGGATCTCTGCCCATGCACATGCGCGTTGGCAGCCCTACCTCTACCTCATCTGGCGGCTACAATATGATGCGACCTACCTCGCATCCTACTAGCTATGGCCCTCCTCCTACTCTGGAGCCTAACCTGGATAACAGCCAGGGTACGCCCAGCAGCAATGGTGGAAGCCCTCACATGGCCAACGTTGGCTGGCAGTCTCCATCGCACATGGCATCGCCCTCGCAGAACAACGCCAGCTATGTTTATCCTGACCCTGCGGATGCGTATCCTGCCAACCAAGCCATGAACCAAATGTATTACAGCGCCGCTACGCATATGCGCCGACCCCAGAGCACTGAACCTGGACTGGTACATATGGCTTAGTCGGACCTATTGCCAGAATCCAATGCTTGAGCAAGGCTCAAGGTCGTCGTTCTTGTGATGATCTGGAGCAAGCTCACCGATACCCTGTATTATTGAAGCTGTGCCTGATTCGGGCACGAAGATTATGGCGGCGTTAATTCCTTCTGGACTGGATTCCCATACTCATACCCCTTCAACCAAGCTTGCCACAGCTGACGACAAGTTGTGTGCATGTCTTGGTCTAATATCAATCCCCCCACAACACACCTCACTCTACCGTCTAATAGGCGGGCATGCTCCTAGACGGATCATGCTTTGAACGTTGATTTCTGCACTGTATCGTGGTTTTCATGTTTTATCGATTCCCCATCTCTCGTACATCATGGATGCTTTTTTATTTCCTTTGTTCTCGTATCAAATAGACTGGCGGATGGCAATGCGATGAACGACGGACAGGACATTGCATTTGTCTGCATAACGCAAACATAGGAAGGGAGTTACACTGGAACATTTGCTTGTTTTTTTCTTTTCTTCTGAGTGTATCAGAGACAAAGACAGCAGGCATTATGGGAAGCACAAGACGCTGGCATGTTTGTGTATTATTATGTAGACTTGGACTTAAGGACTGGGAACCAACATAGACTTGCTATTTGATGCGATGAATATTATTACACTCAACAAAAACGAATGTCACCCCGCTTATGACTAGTTTATGCCGTGACACATACACTTGCTCTAGAACATCAGCTATCGATTGATATATTGGTCAGCCGCGGCCGACGTCCTTCGGCAATTATTGCCAACTGACCTGTACCCCTCAATTGAGCCGCATGTATGAACATCTGGTGTTTCACTGCCCAGCGAGATCGACATATCACCCCTCGTCTAAATCCGTCCTGTCAAGCCCAAAAACCTCCATGACGTCTATCATGTATAACAATGCCACCACGAGCACGCGACTGTCAAACCCAGCGACTGGTCTAGACTTTTTTAGGACCATAAAGCCAGCTAAAAAGCTGAAACCACGCCATTTTGAAATAAGAAAAAAAAGAAAAAGCGAAAAAGCGAGAAAGGTTCCCCCCTGCGTAATTCCCGGTAGTGCGGACCCCCGCAGAACAGCGATTTTCTGATTATTCATCGCAGACATATTCAATATTCAACGACAGGCCACGATGGGCGGCATTGATGCCCGGATTTGCCAATCGGGCAGCCTTGATGCCGGCTGAGCTGGGGTTTTATCATGTACGGAGGGCTTGATGGAAGATGTTTGGTTAAAGCCCTGGTCCCTGTGAGGGTAAAATGTGAGAGTTCATAATAAAGAAGGAGGATATGTTCCGTTCATATATATATCTGCGGTTGTTTGCTTTACAGATCGACAGTGGCTTTCTTGCTAAAGTGTGACGGTGTTCAACGGTTTTTAACTTTGCTGTTGGCGTCCACCTTTACTTATACTCCTGATGACTTAAACGATTTACGAACAAAGATTCTTCCTTCTTCTCTTCTAACACCCTAATTCCTCTTTCGACCATGCTTATAGACATTGTCATCCATGGAGACATTCTATGTCCATGGTGTTTTCTCCAGAAAAAGACCCTCGAAGAAGCCATGGAACGTTATCAAGCACTCCACCCGGAAGTTGAATTCGATGTCACATGGAAGCCTTTTCTTCTGTATCCCACACTACGTAGAGGTACTCCGACCTTCTATCCTCTTTTTTATAAAACTAACTCGTCAAAGGTGACAAGCGTGCCCTCTATGAAAAGCTCATGTCTCCAGAGAAGCTTCGTCTCTTCACGTCTCGACTCCAAACTGCCGGTGCTCGTTACGGTATCGCATTCTCTGTGACTGGCAAGACGGGGCCTTCACAGCCTGCCCATCGACTTGTTGCCTTGACACTTCAAACCCGTGGAGCAAATGTCCAGTCTGCTGTGCTTGATGCTATGTTCCGTGGTCACTTCGAAAACGGGGCTGACATTGCTGACGAAGCGTGGTTGATGCATGTAGGTAGAACAGAGGCCAAACTCGAAGATTCCGATATGAAAGCTGCACTTCTAGGACCAGGTCTGGGGAAGTCGCTCGAGGACGAGGTCAGAAGTGCGGCCATAGCGGGAGTAGAAGCTGTGCCTTGCGTTACGGTTCAGAAGAAGTTTCGAGTTGGAGGGTATCAAGAGCCAGACATCTTTGAGAGCTTGTTTGACAAGATACGGCGAGAGAACAGGTAAGGACAAATCAATTGTGGGACAAATGGTACGGCAAGCGAGGGATACATAATGGAGATAAAAGGCTTGTCACACATACATGGCAAAAGGCGATCTGAGTTTGATATTGAACAATGTTGTTCATTGAATGATTAAAAAATGCCGCTGCCTTGTTCCCCACGTCTACCCGACGCTGTCCGTCTCGTAATGCCCTTTGTCTTTTTTATTTGACCTTAATCATAATGGGTACCTTTATCGCCAAACGCCAATTAGAAATGAAATGATGCCTCCCTCGAGTCTCAAGCTCATCCACCTAACGCCCCGAAATGAAAACAATTATGATACACGCGGTCTCTATCGTCGCATGCCACTGTAGTCTTGCATGAGATGCGCCATGTGCACATTGGTCGCCTTGCCGATCCTGTTGCCCTTGCGACGTTTCTGAACCTTGGGCTTGTTGGCCTGTCCATCCTTTGCCTTGCGGGGATCTTCGCTTGTGGGCTTTTGTCCGACGCTGGTAAGCTTGCGGTGCATCTCCTCGAGGGGTGGTAGTTGCACACGCTGCCACATGCTTTGGAACTCTGGCTGAACCTTGTGGTGCAGCGACGGATCATTGGGCCAGACGAAGCGTGGGATATTATCCTTCTTGGTGCGCACTACTAGGATCCTGTGCTCACGCTCAAGCGCTGATATTGTGTCTTCGCAGTCGGGCCAGCCGTCCTTGAGGTCCTTCACTGACACACCTGAGGCGTCTGTCTTGGCTTGAAGATGAGCGAGAAGGGTGGTTGCGTCCTTGACTCCAGGAATGATAGGTCGGTGGACATAGGTACCAGTCTTCCAGGTCTGTTCGCTTAGGTTTGCATCAGGCTTCCACTCTATACGTGGATGGCCTCGTAGTCCTTCCGCGAGTTGTCGCTTGTGCTCATCGTCAAAATTCCTCAAACTCAGATGGTCGATAATATCAGTGATGGTCTTTGCGTCGCCCTTCTTTTTCAAGTAATCGACAGCATAGGTCATTTGTGTCTTGACTCCAGCACCATAGCCTGTGAGCTGCGGCTGCGAGTAGGGCACCTCGGGGCCTGCATCTCGTTTTCGCTTGGCAGTAGGAGTGTTTGGATCGGAGGCTGCTGAAGGAGATGGCGAAGGAGGAGCAAGCGAAGGAACGGCGAGAGATGAAGCCTTGTTTGTTGATGGATTTGAGATCTTTGTCGCTGCTGCTGAAAGGGTGCCCTTGAAGGCGTTTGCCTGCCTTTCGAGATAGGACGACATGATTATCTAGGAAAAAGAATGTATTCTCTGCGGATCAGAGACGAAGATCGAGAGGTCGCGCTTGTTTATAGGGGGTTGGTGTCAAGGAGAGACGGCCAGGGCGGACAGCGAAGAACAAAGGAATAAGGAAAAAAGAAGATGGAGGTCGAGCGAAGTAAGCTTGAAGTTTGGATTGACGTTGATCCGGCGAGGCTGATGTTCACCTTAGTGTGGCGCTAGGTACCAGCAGCGACCAGGGGGTGCACTGCTGTGGTTGTGCTACTAACCTGACTACCCACAATCAATCAGTATGAATGAGGCTCAACAGGTGAGTAGAGAGAATGATTACAAGAGGAGAAAAAGAATGGCTCATTCATGGACTTCGAAGGCATATTTATATCTTACTTGAAGGGGACGTACAGTCATAGACAACGGATATCAAACTCTTTTGTGATGTTATCACATGGTAAAACTAGGTCTCTCTCTTATTACTCATGTGGAAAATTCAATTGATTCTGAGAAACCTATCATCAATCGCCATAGGTGAAGAAATTGAGATACTTGTCGGCCACAAGGTTAGACTTTAGAGATAACACAGGTAATAGGGACCCGGTGTTTGTTCACGATGTAAGGTTCTGCCTATTCCACAATAAACATTAAATCTTGTATTACAATCAAGCCCTTGGGGCTGTGTAAGACGAAGAGCCCAGGAGGTATAATTACTGCCTTGAGTTTTCATCTTTGGATCAGCCCCATAGGTGAAGAGTTTATTATTGACGTGAAGTTTACAAAATTATATGAGGGCCACTCAGCAAGCGAAGCCGATATCTAAGTTTTAATCACAAAAGGCAAGAAAAAAGATGGTCATAACCAGTCATCGATTAAAACAGTGATATATATTTACTTTACTTTATCGCCCCAAAGATTGTCGTCTCCATTGCTGAATGCATGTCCCGTGCTCATGTAATACCGTGCTCCATGAGATGAGATGGTCGATTCGCCTGTCTGACTGCGCATGAGTCGCGCCTCACAAATAGGTCTCGTCTGCGCTTCGCTGCGATCCTTATCTTTCTTTTCGGGTTTCGGTTGCACGTCCCGGTCCCCTCTTCCGCCCCCCCAACAAAAAAGTAAAATCCCGAAAATCGGGACATTGCATGGGCTTTGACATTCGTGAATTCGCCGCTGCCCACTGTTCTCATCATGTCCAAGCCGGGGTAAGCTGCATTTAGTAGCTGAGCGCCCGCCGTCTATCACCGACCTCTGTTCAGGCCAAAGAAAACTCCCAATGCATAGTTGTCCTTAGACATACGTCTGCATTGATGCCGTAGCAAAATCCAAAGAACACCCTTTTTTCTATCCTCATTCATGCGATGCGATTGACATGAGGCGCTTATGCGGAGGCTTGGCCTTGAGCCTCTTGCTGCTTCTGGAGATAGTTGTAGGCAACGTAGGCGATGAAACCAACGGCGACAACAATGGCGTATGTGTTCAAGCTGGAGCCGGCGGGATCAGACTTGCCGCTGCCCTGGTTCGAGTTGGCGATCTGGCGCTTGGGGCCCTCATCACCAGGCTGCAATGACACATATTAGCATTTGCTCCGTCGAGATAGAGGTTTCGGTTACTCACCAGACGCTTGAGCTCACCGACGAGAAGACCGTCGAGAACCTCTCGGGCCTCATCGCTGTGGCCAACATCCTCGAAAGCCTCGGTGGCATCCTGACCGGCAACGTCGAGCATGACCTCCTCACCACCGCTAAGTCGATGTCAGTATCCCGAGAAGATGATTGCATCACGTAGCGCAGAAACACAGCAAGATAACGTACGGGTGCTCGTCGAGGAACTTGGTGCAGTCGTAGACCTTGTCGTGAACAACCATGTAGATGTCGCTGGAGGTGTTGTGCTCAGCAACATCCTGCATGGTGAACTCCTTCGCGGACATGATTGCGGTGTTGATGTGGCGGGTCGTGAAGAGAATTGGGGGTTCTGGTCTTGTTCGAGGGCTGTCGTCGCACAAGTGATGGGATTGTGAGAGGATGGGAGTGGAAGAAAGAAAAGAAAGGAGGAGAGAAGAATGGAAAGTCACAAGCAACTGGACGGAACCTAACCCAAGTTAACAGCTAAATTAATTTAGGTCCCCTGTTTCTAGGTGGCCTTCTGGAGATTTGGCGGCGGCCACTCTTCCCAGGGGCCCATAGACAGAGTAAAGTACTGCCCCACACAAATTCTATGTACCCGGTACATGATCCTGATCCCGATCCTTTTGCGGCGTCTTGCCTTCTATTGTTTCTGTTTTGTTTCCTCGGAAAGTCATCGGAAAGGAAGTCGACCGATTGTGCTACCGAACTCTTTGGGGTCCAATGTGTTTGCCCGAATTACATATTGCTTCTTTGTTAATGATTCTTCTCGGCACTTTTCTCTTCTTTTAACATGTGCTATGTGTCACTTACAACCTCATCATTCAGGCCACGCCTTATAACGAATTCAACCTCAACCTCACCCACTTGAAGTTCCTGGTACGATTCGGTGTCCCAACATCCGGACCCATCCGCTACAAGGCCCATCACCGAGGATGCTTCTGAGCCAATCACAGCAATCAAAATTACCGTCTCTACTCTCTGATTCGTCGCTTTTTCTCAACACCAGCCTTACCAACCTAAGTAACTTGTACGGCTGCTGCTGAGGCCCAAGGACCGTGGGCTAGCACAATTCCCTTCTTTGATTCCGTTTGTTTGCTGTACGGGCATACGAATACGGTGATTTCTCCCCGCCCCAGGTTCAATACTACTTCACCGTCATTTTGAACGGCGTGTTCCATTGCTTTTCATACTCCAACGTGGTATGATTCTTTGTGTCTATGATCAAATTATAGTGACTCAACCCGAAAGGTATCGGATAGTTATTACCCAAGTTCTTCCGGTCTCTTCCGCCAAGGATACATTGGCAACAGGCTACAAAACAACATCAACACCAGATCTACCCCTCCAAACCCATCTATGATCTCCCCCGCATCTCAAAAACTAACAATACCGGTACCTAAAACACGGACCTATCCTCCGTCCACCGCGCGGGGTTATGTCATTGCCACCAGTCACGCCCTGGGAGGAAATTACCCTTTCAAGACAAGTTTGGCGAGACATCTCTCATGATAAGAGTCAAGACAACCGGACATTATGCCGACGTGTTCCATGGCCAACCTAATTCCGAGGAACATTATGGCTGCAATGCCACATGCTATGATTCCAGAAGTTGAAGGTCACTCGCAAACCAGTACCGATGGAGATGCCGATTTCCGATTCCCGAGGAAGACATCTCTAACCTTTACCGCTTGCAGTTGACTTACGCAAGATAAGCAAGATATGACAGAGGGAATGCCTACTGTGAGCCTGTGAGGCTCCCTATGTCTCTCATAGTCTGGTTGTTTTGGGTCTTTTAAGCATGACTATCTAGGTAAGGCCACCCGGTGATTGATGCATCAACGATATCGGAGGGCTTTGAATAAAGTGGTACAAGCTGGCTCTCGGATAACGATAAGATGAACATAATCAATCACCTAACTCTAGTAGGTTGGTGTATAGATTTCCATGCTGCTCGACCACTCTACATCATCGGTCATGCACGCCCGGAGTGTCATCCGTTACGCTCTTGTCAGTCACACAAACTCGGTTTGTGAGCTACACATTGTGCATGAGACTAGAAGCCTCCAAAACGTTCCATGCCAAATGCCTAATCTAGCGGTTCGTGGATCAGTTATATGCATTTGCTAAAGATCTCGATAATACAGTTTGATTATCAAGATAATCACCTCCAAACCCATAGTGTTTGCTATCGATGCTCGCATTCTTAATTCACTAACCAGGGGAAGGCCAGCACCACTTCAAAGCTAGAACATCGATACTTGGCATTTATTCTACGTTGTTCCTCGTTCAGTCTATCGTTCAAATTCGCGCGCTACCAATAACCATGCTCTATCGCCTTGAGCTTCCACCACCAATATCTTGGCCCAGTCTGTAGCTCGTCACGCGGTCCCACTCGATCTTCTGTCTCGTCACAGGGAGCTGTCGTCGCAAACCCTTGAAAGCTCCCTCGCTCAGGCTCACGAACCCCTTGTTTAGCTCCTCCTGGTACTTTCTCTCCGTGGTGGAGATCTCTCTGACGATGCTGGCGCCGTTGACAGACGAGATGGTGCTAGAGACGGGTTTATTGGTGAGTAGGCGAACGTTGCCGTCTTCGTAGTAGTGCACATCGACTTTCAGGGAGCCCTCAAGAGCTCCGGAAGATGGGTCAAGGATGTAGAGCGATCGCCAGCGTCCGTTCCTGGGGAAATTAGCTTCATGAAATAGGACTTTTAGGTAGAAACCCTACCAGAAGTTGTTAGGGCTATATTTGTTGCCAACAATAACGATGGCAACCTTGGAGTCCGACTCGATTGGGTAGACACCGTGTGCAGCATTGGCGAAGTGCTCGTCAACGTAAGGTCCGATACTCTTGAGGGTGGATTTGCTATGATTGTATTTAAGCACTTCGTGTTGTTCAACCGGCTTGAGCCAACTTACACAAGATCCGCTTGAGCTCCTTCCAGGACATGGCTTTGCACGGCACTAGCTTTCTATTCCTCCGTCAGAACCATGTATCCGTTTGTGCAGTCATGCGCAGCTTACCTGCGTAGTGTGGTCGAAAGCAAAGCTGGAAGAGCTCTCAACATCGTAATATCGGCCGTCTCCGAGCGAGTTGTGAGAGCTAATAATGACCTAGTGCACCTCATCAGCTCCAATCTATCTGTTTTCGTAATTGTTTGTCACCCACTGGTTGGCTGCTACCAGGCAGCTTCACCGTAACAAGCTGCTCCTCATTGTACTTTTCGAATGCGGGACCGAGGTTGGAGATGATATCGGGTGAGGTTTCGAGGGTGAGGGACTTGATGTCTGCGGACTCGTGTCAGTATTCTCCATCGCTCAGCAATCGTATTTTGGCCGGTAATACCTGCGATAACATCTGCGAGCTAAGAATACATATTAGCTGATGACGCCACAGACAAGAGGATGATATCAGCACGTACCTCCCCTGGAGGAGCCCCCTCGACAAAGGCAGAAACAGTCTCTAGATCCGACATTGTGTAATGAGATTGAATGCGCCGTGGATAGGTATAAGGCGAAAAGGACGGGCGATAGCGTTGAGGCTCAGGGCGTGGAGTTCTTGAGGCACAGCATGGGCCACAGTCAAGGGGAGGCGGGGCAGGATGGAGGAGCTTAGCTTAGGTGGAGCAGGAGCAGGAGCATAGGTGACGATGTTAGTGGGGTTTATACTAGCATTTCTATTTGCTTAACAGCTACTATAAGTCGAGCATTTATAACTTGAACACATAAGATATAAGATCACTTATACTCCTTAAAGAATCGATGTCCCGAATTTCTATTTTATGGCCCTAGCTATGTTGGCTGTTCTGGTATTAACGCTCCACCTCCCTCGCATTATTCTTGCACTAATAGTTCAACAACTTCTTGATATTGTCATAAATTCCTGAGAACAATGTTAGCTTCGAGCCATCATTTACAATGAGCTTTCGATTACTTACTTGCAACGTCAGGAACATTAAACTTCTCATATAGCAAAGGCGAGTGAATACTCCACCCAGCAACTCGAGCAACTGGTGCCTCTAATCGCAGGAACGTGTCGTGATCTTCTTGAATAGTCGCCGCAACTTCAGCACCAATACCTGCGTTCACCATAGCTTCGTGGACAACCATGGCTCGTCCAGTCTTTCGAACACTCTGGAGTACAGTCTGCTTATCCCAGGGGTACAGAGTTCGAAGATCAATCAACTCAACAGAGATGCCCAGATCCTGCTCTGCCTGCTTGATAGCGTTCTGGCATAGGTAGAGGGGTTGACCGTATGAGACAATTGTGACATCCTTGCCTTCCTTGAGAATTTCTGCCTTTGATAATGGGAGTTCGTATGATCCAACAGGAACTTGCTCGACGGCCGCGCGATACAGGATCTTGGGTTCCATAAAGACGCAGGGATCGTTGCTGCGGATTGCTGCCAGGAGAAGACCCTTGGCTTGAGCCGGCGATCTTGGCATGATGACCTTCAGTCCAGGAATATGTGTAAACAAACTCTCGGGAGATTGTGAATGGTAGAGACCTCCATGGCCAACACCACCGCAGGGCATTCGTACGGTCAAACCACCCACGCTTCGCCCGCAAGACCCGTCACGATATCGGAATTTGGCAGCCTCGTTGACTAATTGATCGAAAGCTGGGTAGACGTAGTCGGCAAATTGAATCTCGGCAATAGGTCGCATGCCTTCCGCAGCAAGACCAATACCAAATCCCATGATACCCTGTTCTGTAAGAGGAGTATTGAATACTCTCTCAGCACCATGGGTTTCGGCAAGGTTCATAGTACATCTGAAAACACCACCAAAAGCAACATCCTCTCCGAAAATGACAACAGACTCATCCTCAGCTAGTGCGATTCCCATCGCGTCGTTGATGGCCTGAAACAGGTTCATCTTCTTGGTCGGCCCATTGCGAATGCTTTCAGGTAGCTCCTTGTGACTCAAAGCAATCTGTGAATTATGTGCGAGGAGAGGAGTCGTGCCATAGTCGACAGGCAGATTTAGTTTGGCATTAGGCGGATGTGTTGAGTAGCACCTTCGTCCTACGGGAAGTGCAAGTGAAAGTCGTGCAGTCGAAGGGTTGCTGACAACGTGTGCCCTCTTGAATTGGTGGATAACACGATGCTTCATGGCGATGGATTGGCAATGTTCACAGGTGGTAATGGCAGGAAACGAGTGATTAGAGGTTCAATTGGAATGGCATGGCAGTAGTAATAGCAGCTGAGTTGTAGCAGAATGATTATACCTTAGATATCCAAAGCCAACCGAAGGGGGCTTATTGATTGATTGATCCTCGGTGAAGGTGATGTCAAGCTCGGCTTGCTGCGGGCTCAGCGGGATTGGCGGCGGCTTCTATCGCCCTCATGTCTAATGCCGAATAAGACGGAGAGTTACCCAATCAACTCCCAGTAGCACGGGTTACTACAATGAAATACTGAAGAGAATTAATTATACGCTTGAGTATGGATCACCTCATAACAGTGCTATTTGTCATTGCGCAGCAGACTTTATGAGTTGAGACAAAGATAGTCTGCTAACGATACTGATAAGGATAAGGAGGTATCAATGGATCTTCCTGGAGATAGGGAGGTATCATGAGATCTCATTTGCCGCTCCCCATACATTGCAAGCGATAAGTCTTTGTAACAAACTTATTCCGAAGACTAAACAAGTTTTCTATCACTTATCCTTCTTTGCTTGATAAGTGGTAAGCTGCTAAGCTGTCTCGCAAACTATCATTTGCCGTTCTGCCAGATCCAAGCGTTTCCACGTCTTGGTCCCAGAGTGTCCAGTCAACCAAGCTATGCACTAAGCCAGTGTATTAGGGATCATGGTGTTGCCAGTATCTGGGCAAATCTTGGATGGCATCCGCGGACCCCAAGAAGACATTGCATCTATTTTTATGAATCTATGTACTTACTCAACGGCAACGCTGCCGTTGAGTACGTATGCTGAAATTGCTTTGATCGTCGACATAGTGTCGTTTTTGAAGAAAAAGGAAGTCCGGCTTCTTCTAACAGGGCCGATTAATCTCTCCAATGACCGGAGCAATAAAAAGAAAACATGACGAAACGTGTCGAATAAGTTCTGGGTTATTGTTTCGACGAGGTCTGGGTCTGGGATAATTCCAAGGATGTATCTGGTTGCCCTGCCAACCAGGATTGGCCAAGACTGACGTCGTAATTGGTCGTAAAACCATTGACGCTCGCTCAAGTCCATTTCTGTAGAGATTGCATTCCAATTACGCCGTCGCTACATGTCTCACGATGCCGCCACCTGAGTCATCGCGGCGCTCTCACTCACATCGACCTAGAGACCGCGATAGGGACAGAGAAAGGGATCGACGAAAGAACGGTCAGCGGAAGAGGAAATCGCAAAGCTCCCGGCGACCAGTTTCTGGGTCGGAAGATAATCGCGACAGAAGTTCAAGAACACTATCAGCGAATGCCTTAGCGGATCTGGAAAGGGAGAACGCGCGACAGAAGAAACGGAGCGAGAGGGCGAGTCGAGACTATAGAGATGAATCACGAAGACGAGAACGACGAGATGAACACAGGAAGAAAGATCGGGATCGAGATCCTGATAGGCCGCGAACTCATGGTAAACATAAGAAGAAAAGGATCGTGAGCGGTGCTGTTATGGAAGAGGGACGGTCCAAGACACATCTTCGAGGTGGTTGGGGGAGTGTGGACAGTGTGGAACAAGAGAAAGACTTTTATTTATCAAAACCGCCAAAGAAGAGCAAGAAGAAACTCTGTAAGTTGCATGTGGTGAACTGGGCAATTGAGAAGCTGACTATATTCAGGGATTGCACTCGGTGTGAGTGCCGTTGTACTCATTATAATTATCATTGTGGCAGTTGTCGTCAGTAAGAAGAACAAAGGCGGTGGAGGAGGCGGGAGCAGCGACAAATCAGACGACTCAACCGAGGATACTTCTGACCTGGACGGGAAGGATCATTCAGAGATACCCGAGAAGTGGCAGAACACATATCTCGATCCTTGGACATGGAAGTCAACCACCGATTTCAACCTCACTTTCACCGATCAGATGGTTGGAGACTTGCCTGTCATGGGTCTCTATGACGACTGGGACGACTCGGCCCAAGCCAACGACAATGTCCCACCTCTCAACAAACCCTGGGGCTCTTATGCGAAGAAACCTGCTCGCGGAGTGTGTATTGGAGGATGGCTCTATCTAGAACCTTTTATCAGCCCATCTCTTTTCAATTATGATACCAAGGAGGGCATCATTGATGAATGGACTCTGTCCGAGAAGCTGGGTTCCGATGCAGCGAAAACTCTCGAAAAACATTATGCTTCATTCATCACGGAACAAACATTTAAGGACATACAAGCAGCTGGTCTCGATCACGTCCGAATTGGTTTCAACTACTGGGCTGTCGAGGTCTACGATGGTGATCCTTACGTGTACCGAACATCCTGGAGATATCTTCTCCGTGCTATCGAGTGGTGCCGTAAGTATGGCTTGCGAGTCAATTTAGACTTGCACGGTATTCCGGGAAGTCAAAACGGATGGAATCATAGCGGTCGATGGGGTTCCATTGGCTGGCTCAACGGAAAAGACGGTAGCAAAAACGCAGAGCGGGCACTTGATATTCACAACCGTTTGTCCAAGTTCTTTGCCCAACCCCGCTACAAGAACATCATCACCCACTACGGCCTCGCCAATGAACCTCGAATGACCAGCCTGAAAACAAGCGATGTTATCCAGTGGACAGAAAATGCATACAAACTCGTCCGTAAGAACGGCATCAAGGCTCTCGTGGTGTTTGGAGATGGATTTATGGGACTCGAGAACTGGCAAGGCTTGATGACGGGCTACGATGATATGGTCCTCGATGTTCACCAGTATGTCATTTTCAACGAGAACCAGATCGACTTTACGCACAAGAAGAAGGTTGAGTATGCTTGCGACGGCTGGACTGAGCAGGCTGAGATCAGTATGAATCCCTCGACAGGTTATGGACCAACCATCTTTGCCGAGTGGTCTCAGGCTGATACAGACTGCGCAAAGTATCTCACTGGCGTAGGCTGGGGTACTCGATGGGAGGGCACATACGACACCGGAAACAAGGACACTTCCATCTTGGAGCCCCGATGCCCAACAAAGGACGACAAGTGCTCATGTCGTGGCGCCAACGCAGATCCTAGCGACTGGAGCGACGAGTATAAGAAGTTCCTCAAGATGTTCGCCGAAGCACAGATGCACAGTTTCGAAAAAGGCTGGGGTTGGTGGTACTGGACATGGAAGACAGAGAATAACTACCAGTGGAGTTATGAGTCTGGCCTCAAGGCGGGTGTTTTGCCCGAGAAGCCTTGGGATCGGGACTTCAATTGTGACAAGGATGTTCCTGACTTTGCGAAGAGCGGTTTGCCGGAGTATCTTTAGAGATGTATTGTGTGTTGGTGGATATACCGTATCAGTTCGGCAGTACATGTTGGTGCGTTTTGGCGTTTGGGTCTGGTTTGCTTGGAATTGAGATAGAACATACATGCATGGCTGGTATATGGTGCTCTATGAGAACTGATCGAAAGTGTTTATGATGGTGGATGCATTGTCCTAAGGTAGATAGATATATAATGACAATATAAGGAAAATGAGTTGCTATGATGCTGTTGGTTCCCTGACTTTAAACCGTCAGTATCATGACCCGGTCCTAGGTGTATCATGGTTCGGA